AATTTACATTGTTATTTTTTTATAAGATTGATTTCGTTATAAACAAAACCCCCCAATCGTTATACGAATTATAAATTGTTGAATTACACACTTTTTGTTAGATCGACCCTTACTTCCATTATTACATTAGTTTTAGAGGTTTAAGAACTATTTTTGGGTGCCTACGACAGCACACCAATGAGACCTAAGCAAAAAATTATGTTTTCTTATTTTTATAATTATTTAATAACTAAAATAATGCATACCAAATATCTAAAATTATAAAAATACTATATATACTTAATAATTTCTACAATTAGTCAATTATACAATTTTCAAGTTTTCAAAATGTGAAAATTAAATTATTTTTCATAATTTCAACCTTTAATTAGACAGCTCCTACTTGAAATTTTCGAACTTGTTTTCATTTTTTTACTTTTGTACCGATAAAATCATCAAAGAATTTGAAACTAAAGTTATATAATAGAATTTTTTTTTTAAATTAATAAAGCGTCACTAGGCTCTCATTGACAAGGCATGGCGAACCTCGTGCCTAGATGACTCTTAGATGCCACATAGGCGGATTTTTTAAAACACCGCCTATGAATATGACAACTTAAACAATGCCAATTAAGGCACTATACCTTTTCTAGTATAGTGTGTGGAGCTCACTATTAAAATGAACCATTATTAGAAGATTATGCTTCTTGTAAATTCCTTGTTGATATCAAGGTGCATATACTCCTATGTGTCGGAAATTTGATCATTGATTGGAAAATGTGTTATGAAAATCAATGTGCAAAAATCTATCAATTCATATGATATCAAAATTTAGGTACATGTAGCATAATTGTTGTTTGAATCTTAAAGTGGTAAATTCTTATTTAGTAGGATGTTCTCATTCTTTTATATTTTCATTGTATATGAAAAATTGCATATTTTTGTTAATCTGTTGTTTGAGTAGTAAGTTAGTCAAAGTAAAGTTAATCCCTGACCTTTCAACTTAGTTGCAAATTGAACCCCAACAATAAAAATTGTTCAAATCTTCACTATCGGAATGTGGTCTTTATGGTCTTACACTTCACTTCTGTTTGGAATTCAACAATGATATTCAACAGCCCAGAAATACGTTAGGGATTCAACAGTAATATTCAA